TGTCAAGGTCCAGAAAAGTATGAAAGACATCGTCAGAATAGTCCATCTGCCATCAGTGGTTCAACTGTAACGTTATGAAGCGACGAGAATACTTTTTATATGCGAAGAAAACAAAATTTTTTCTTTATTCAACAATTCGTCTCCTCTGTCTCTCCGCATCACTGTAGCACCATTTTGGAGAATATCCACTGAACGCAAGCAGCGTACGCTCTTCTGTGTCAGCCGCGGCAAAAGTAAACATTTTCTATGTGTATTTACGCTTTGATTTGAACGAAAACAGTGCATCCGTGCAGCGCGGCTGACACAGAATAGCGTTCGCTGCTTGCGTTCAGCGGATATTCTCCAAAATGGCGCTACGGCTCACAGAGGAGACGAATTGTTGAATAAAGTCGTTATTTTTGTTTTCTTCGCGTACAAAAAGTATTCTCGTCGCTTCATAACGTTACAGTTGAACCACTGATGGCAGATGGACTGTTCTGACGATTTCATACTTTTCTGGACCTTGACAGTGTAATTTACTTGGCAGTCAATGGGACAGTCACAAGCCTCCCGGTTTTCATCCAAAATATCTTAAATTGTGTTCCGAAGACGAACGAAGCTTTTACGGGTTTGGAACGACATGGGGGTAAGTGATTAATGACAAAATTTTCATTTTGGGGTGGAGTATCCCTTTAAGCATGTTACTTGTAAAATGAGACTAATGTTAATTCAGAAATCGTTCTAATATGCTGATTTGCAGCTCAAGAATAATTTCTTATTATCATCAGTGTTGAACACAATTGTGCGGCTTAATGTTTGTGGAAAACATGATCAATTTATTTTCAGGATTCTTTGATAAATAGAAAGTTTATTTGAGTTTATTTGAAATGGAAATCTTTTGTGCCAAATTAAATTGTAATTGTTATTAAATTGTCATGTTTGAACAATTAATGTGTCCTTGTTGAATAAAAGTATTAATTTAAAAAAACAAACAAAACTAATTTACCCAGAACTTTTGAACAGTAAGCGCCATTAACAAAAACTCGAGTACCTCATTTCAGCTTTTAAGCCTCCAAAATGTCTCGACTTTCATGGAGAGTTCACAGTTTTTTTTTTGGTTTTTTTTGTTCACTGCCTAGTTTTTGTTTGTTTTACATACTGAGGCATGTGGTAATAATCAGCATGTAGACGGTGTCAATAGCGTTTAAGCTGTATTGATACCATAACATCCTCTGACAAATTGTATTTAAGCACATTTGCACAAGATTGGATCACAGTTTACTTGGCCTGTGTCAACGGATGCTTTTGATGTGGGTTTATCTAAATGAATCAGCTGAATTTGCCAGTTACTGATGAATGCTGCAGCAGTAAAAGACACTAAACAGTTTCTGTTCTACCACTGAAAGCAAATGACTCATTAAGCAAAAGGCCAAAATGACTTTTGAAAACGTGAGAAAAGTAGTGAAATGGTTTCGAATTGAAATGTTCACACATTTCTGCTGATTTTTTATTAGAGAGCGGCCTGTGTGAGCGGCCCCCGACCCTGTTCGTACTTATTTTGTACCTACTTATTTTTGGAGACATCTCTGAGCTGCCCGTCAGGACTGTAGGATTCAGTAATTGGTTTTCTGAGAGCTAAATAACCCAGAACCATCACTGTCAGAGGCGTTTAATTAACTCTCCCTCAGCATGAGCATTCATCTACAGTGGGACGTGACCAAAAAAAACACCCAGTTTGTTTGTTGCTTAATAATTTCCAGTCTTTTTATTTATATTTTTCTCTTTCCATTCTAAAAGAGCACCATGAATTTTTAATAACAGGAAATGCACAGCCAGATTTCCTTCCCCCGATCTCGTTTTTCTTTCGCAATTTTCCATGATCTTTTTTCTTTTTGCCCCCTCTCAGGAAACAAAAGATCAATTTTGCGAGAGCACAGGCTCCACCCCATTCCTCTTCAGTCTTTCTTGTAGCCACCTCGCACTCGTTTCTCTCTCTCTCGCTCGCTCTCGCTCTCCCATAAATGCAGTGACACTTGCATTCTGTGTGTGCATGCGTGTTTGTCCGAGTGAGAGAGTCGAAATAGAAAGTGAGGGAGCTGGGGGGGAAGAGAGGGAGTTCGAGAGAAAGAGAAAGACAAGGAGGGGTGAGCGCGCGTGTGTGTGCTTAAGCTAGCTACTCACAGAAAAGAAGGAATAAGAAAATTGAAGTAGCCGCCATATGCTGAAGATTTTGGTGAATGCCTTGCTGAGGAGACACGCTCGTTTTTCCAGCGGATCCTAAGAGATGGGAAGCTCACATTTGCTGAACAAAGGCTTGCCATTAGGTAAATGTTTACCTTTCCTTCTGCATGGGGCCACACGTGAAAGTGTTGTACGGATATCTGCGGATATTTGAGCGTTCGCTCGGCTGTCGTACAGTATTCTGGCTTCCCCTCCCCCTCTTCCTTTCCTCCTCCCCTCCTCTCTGCTCCGCTTTTCCCTCTTTCCTATTATCTTTCATCTGAACCATTCATCCACGCACAATTGCTTGCTTTCTGCTTTCTCTTTCAGCATTCGTCCGAGAGCCGGGGCTACGGACCTCTGATGGCTCGCTTTATTAACTGCATTAATCTTTCCGAGCTCCAAAGATTAAAAAAAAAACACACACTATCCACTCTGGAAAATTTGAGGGGTTGGCAAGGACATGACTCTCTCTCTCTCTCTCCTATGGCCCTCCCTCACATTGTGCAGTGGAAATGTGGCTTCCAGTTCCGGCCTTGACTTACTTCCTAATTTCAGTCTCTTCGAAGGAAATTCTCATTCTAGAAGAGTCCAAAAGCGGGAATATTAAGAACAGGGTGTTTCAGGATTTCGCGGAAATAGTTACGGCATTCTTTTGCATTCTGCTAATGGGCAACTACTTAATATCTTAAAATAAACATGTTTTATTTTAATTCATATCCGTAAGATATTTCTGATCAGATGGACCAAAAAGTAAATTTTCATTGTCTTATTTTTAGGAGGAGATCGGCTAGTGAAAGTTAAAATCCCTATGAATGTCATTACAGTATTCAAGTGACTCCCTTTCCACCTTTTTGAAAAATCCCAAGTGCACACTTCCAGGAAATCTGGGTTGAGAACAATGCGTTGGCTTTCCACGAATTACAAAAAACAAGATTCACAACACTCTGTGACGAGCAAAAGCGTGTCATTAAAAAAAACAGGTTTTGTCGCACGGTGAACGTGAAGCTGGGATTTGAAATTGGCTTTCATTTTTGCCAGAAGACAACAAAGGGGGGATGTCAGCTTGAATTATCGCCCGCGGGCAGTCGAGGTCTTTAGACGCCGTGTGCGACTGACCCTGTTGGTCCTTGTTGCTATGAACTAGCTAATTCAAACAGATCCAGCTCACCCTCGGGGCAGGGCAATATGAACAGAGCGCCGAGGGATTTTGACAGAACGGTGTGGTGCGAGAAACTACCATGTGTTTTTTTCCAACGCAGGCATCTTGATTTACCTAGCTGTGGTCTTACATGCAAAGACGGAGCAAAGCAGTGCTTTTTCTTGATTGTAGCATTTGATCCCAGAGCTGCGTGCTTGCTTGGATGCATCTATTGCGTGTTGTTGGCAGTTTGTCCTAATCAGAATAAAAGAGATAGCAGTGGCTGTGTTACGACAAGATAACTGGATCCTGCTGGGATGGTTTAGATGTCACTAACACATAATTTACGGTTGTAAAAGTTCACCTTCATTACAAATGGAGAAAACAGCTGGTTCTGTGTGGGAACGGATGCGTGAAAGCCAGGGATCTCTTCACAGAGGTAAAGAGCTCTTGTTTGTGCATAAACGGATGTATTGTGTGTGTGTGTGTGTGTGTGTGTGTGTGAAAGATTATCCTGAGAGCAGGAGTGGGTGGTGCTGATAGAGGTGGGTGTGTCTGTGTCTTATGGGCATGATTACACCATGTCTGCACTTGCCAGGCTGTATATGGTAAAATTGGGAGAGGTCACAGGTGCACATATTGTACTTTTGTTATTATATCATTAACAAATAGCTAAGTATTTTTACCTTTATATTTGCACCTAAAAGATACATATTTACTTTGAATTATCTTAGAGGTGTTTAGATGTATTTTATACCGTTTGTTTATTTTTTGGGGGGTGGGGGGGGTATATAAAATGTAACCAAATAAAAAAATTTCTCAAATTTAATATATACAGTGTATATATATATATAGTGCCATTCAAACGTTTGGAATCAGTAAGATTTTTTATGTTTTTGAAAGAAGTTTCTTATGCTTATCAAGGCTGCATTTATTTGATCAAAAATACAGAAAAAAAATTTATTTTGTGAAATATTATTGCAATTTAAAATAACAGTTTTCTAATTTAATATACTTTAAAATCAAATTTATTTCTGTGAAGCAAAGCTGAATTTTCAATAGGCCTGCCACTAACGACTATTTTTATTTTGATTAATCTATCGACTAATTTATCGATTAATCTAAACGATTAATTCCCCACAAAAAAGTCAACAATTTTACTTAAGAATATTTTATTAAACTATATTTTATTAAACCAAATTAAAACCAAATTTCTATGGTAAGATTTTTTATGTTTTTAAAAGAAGTTTCTTATGCTTATCAAGGCTGCATTTATTTGATCAAAAATACAGAAAAAAATTTAATTTTGTGAAATATTATTGCAATTTAAAATAACAGTTTTCTATTTTAATATACTTTAAAATCAAATTTATTTCTGTGAAGCAAAGCTGAATTTTCAGTAGGCCTGCCACTAACGACTATTTTTATTTCGATTAATCTATCGACTAATTTATCGATTAATCTAAACGATTAATTCCCCACAAAAAAGTCAACAATTTTACTTAAGAATATTTTATTAAACTATATTTTATTAAACCAAATTAAAACCAGATTTCTATGAAATCCTTTTTTTTTTATAAAGCAAAAGTAAAGTGCAACATAGAGTGCAAGAAGCAAGTGTCCATCTCATAATCCAAATCAGTGAAATCAAAGTTCAGTATTGTAGTGTAAGAATGACAACATATCCACGGGTTATAGTCTACTAATAATAAAATTATAATCAAAAAACACTTAAATAATTAAAGCGCATATACTGTATTAGAACTGCATCGCATATAATTATTTAATTAAATCGTAGCGTTTGTGAATTCACTATTATGCTTAATTATGATTTTTAAATTGGTTTAATATATCATGCAGTCTCTAATAATGTGTTTTATGGATTCTCGTCCGTGAAATGCGCCACTTCCGGTATTTTGCCGGTTAGTCGACGCGAGCAAAATGAAGTCGAGGATTTTTAAATCGAATAGTCGAATAAAATCGACGAATCGTGACGGCGCTAATTTTCAGCCCCATTACTCCAGTCTTCAGTGTCACATGATCCTTCAGAAATCATTCTAATATGCTGATTTATAATCAATGTTGTTAACAGTTGTGCTGCTTAATATTTTTTGAGACGTGATACTTTTTTGCAGAATTCATTGATAAATAAAAAGTAAAAAAGAACAGTGTTTATTCAAAATAGAAATTTTGTGTTACAATATACTCTACTATTCAAAAGTTTGAGGTCAGTTAATTCTTTCTTTGTTTTTAAAAAAAAGAAATTAATACTTTTAATATTAATATTAATACTTTAGTGACAGTAAAGACTTATATTGTTAGAAAAGATTTCTATTTTGAATAAATGCTGTTCTTTTTAACTTTTTATTAATCAAAGAATCAAAAGAATCAAAGAAAAAAGTATCACAGGTTCCAAAAAAAATATTAAGCAGCACAACAGTTTCAACACTGATTATAAATCAGCATATTAGAATGATTTCTGAAGGATCATGTGACACTGAAGACTGGAGTAATTTGCATCACAGGAATAAATTACATTTAAAATATATCAAAATGGAAAACATTTATTTGACATTGTAATAGTATTTCACAATATTACTGTTTTACTGTATTTTGTGTAGCTCCAGTGAACATAAGACACTTTTTTCAGATACATTACAAAAATCTTTATGAACTTTTGAACGGTAGTTTACACATATACTTGGACTTTCCATTGACAAGTCCGTTGGTAGATGTTTTTTTAACTGACACTAGGCAGAATGCCAACTTCTGCTACTCAGCCCAGCAGCGCACTTATCACCAATGTCAATAGAGCGCAACAGTCACTGCCCACCTTTTCTGCAGCCTTGGTTCCGGAAGTATTTTTCCCATTCATTTTCTCCATAGGGACTTAAACCAACGAGCTCTGAGATGAATCAACATTACAAACACTGACTGAAAGCAAAAAATATGTGAAAACCAGAGACAAAGGCAGGACTGTGTATTCAACATTTTTATAAGTGAATGAACTGCAGTCCCATGAAACACTGAAAATGCTGTAATTGGGGAAAAAAACATAAACATTTTTTTTTATTTTTTAAATCTATTATTTAAAAAAATTATTTATTATAATTTATTATTTTTGATTTATTATAAAACTAGTTAATTATCATTGATAATATACTTAATTTTAGGTTTATTCCAAAATATTCAAATATACCAATATATAAGTAGTTTGAGAGTGTAGTCGATTACATGATTCGCAGTGATTCATGGAAGCGGGCTGCTGCTGATAAGCCCTTTTGAAGTGGTTTTTATATGGTAGCATCAACATATTTTGGTCTTCAGTGGGAATTTGTCTTGAAGTTGATTAGCTTGACCAGTAGGGCTGCACAATTAATCGAATTTCTAATCGCGATTACAATTATGGATGCCACAATTACGTAATCGTTCAAAGCGGCAATTAATCGTTCAAAGTCCAATTATGTTATTCTGTGTGCTTAAGATGCTTTTTTTTCTTTCTACATGTTATCTTAAGGGGTTTTCCATTGTTTTAATTTTAGTTTTAGTATAACACTATAATACCATTTATATTTTTTAATTTAAAGAAGAAACCAATCCGATGTATAGTTGACATTTGAGGCTTAATACTATAGAAAAGCACTAAAAGTTTTTCAGTTAGAGTGTTTTCAGCTTGTTTATTTTCATATACAAATACGGCATGCAGTTGCATCAAACAATGGTATAAACATCATTCAATGTAAATTGTGATAATCGTAATTAATATTCGCAATTACAATTTCAAGGCAATAATCGACAATTATGATTTTTGTCATAATCGTGCAGCCCTATTGACCAGCATATATTGGGTTATCACTATGAACTGATCATTTAAGTCTGAAAATGTTGGTAGTCTTAGATCAGTAAATGTTGAGGAGCTTAAACAGCACAGTTTGAGGTACTGGCAGAAAATCAGATCCGCAGAAAGAAGCCCCACAGGTGTTCATGACTTTATTGTTACCCATCATCTGTGTTACATCAGCTGCGGTTAACGGTCTAATCAGATTCAATTATCTATGCTAAGCTACAGCTAAAAGTGCTACCGCCAGACCCGGAGATCGGCTGAATGGATTAGAAAATGGTAAAACTCAACTGTTTAACTCTAGGGGAGTTGGAAAATGAGCCTATTTTCAAAAATAGTGGAGTGTTCCTTTAAGATCATTCATTCATTGTTTTCTCCTTTAAACTGATTCTCTGTGTATTTCATCATAATGCCATCAGTCCTCTTACAGAGGGATTGATATCAAGAGTCTGGCTGATTATATATTTACACGGAGTCTAGTTATCATACAAGTTATCACAGTTCTGTTATCATATAACCATTTAGCAAAATGTTACTGACTAGTAATTGACAAGTTGACATCATCAGTGTTCATAACACTCAATGAACATTTATTTGTAAGAAAGGTCTTGAAATAGCAGCATTAGTCCGTTTGATGTGTCTTTTATGAGTGGTTATAAAACCCACAACTGCTTTTTGTTTTACTGTAACAGCAGTTGCAAAAACATTTTTAATATTGAGCAATAAAGCCAGGAATAAAGTGACTGCTAATAATAAACACGGTTGTCTTTTTCTGTGTTTTTGAGTCACTTTATTTTAAGAGTCGTTCCATTATAACTAACCTTGGCATTCAATGTCTGTGTGCATCCTTGAGCCAATAACAGTGAATTCCCTTTACCTATGCAGACAAAATTACGTTTACAGTCAGCGCTCACAAGATCAAGAAGTGTAACATGTGATTTCTGTCTCTCTGCAGGCATCAGGCCTCCCATAATGAATGGCCCTATGCACCCTCGTCCTCTGGTGGCGCTGCTGGATGGCCGGGACTGTACGGTGGAGATGCCCATCCTGAAGGACGTGGCCACCGTGGCCTTCTGTGACGCCCAGTCCACCCAGGAGATCCACGAGAAGGTATCTAGCACTTAATGTCACTCGCTGTTTTGGCGCGGTAGCACTTTTCATTTTCGTTGTTGTGTTATTCTTGTTTTAAATTGCTTTGGATAAAGCATCAGCTAAATAAATGTAAATTTCACAGTTCAGAACGAAGCCAAAAATGTTCAAATGTAACTTTCTCCACCTTTGAAATGTCTTTTCCTTTCTGTTGGCTTAACCAAGACCGTGTGGGCAGAGAAAAACAACATTAACCAATAATATCTCAGCCTATTTTTTCACCAATCCAATCCAGATGAATAAAACAAATTCCTGCTCATTAATTCCCACTGTTTCACTAAGGAATATGTCGCATCACAGAAGTAAAATGCATTGTGAGTGCAGTTCATGTGTTTAAGATTTATTACGACTGTGTGGAGTGGTGTTTTTTCACCACTGGTTTGTACAGATTAATATATCATGTAATATATGTTAAAGTATGATTCTGCAATACATCATAGATCCCACTGGCTCGACGTGATGGAGCCTCTTTGGCTTTGTTACACGGAAAAAGCACTTCATCTCACAGGCTAAAAAAGTAGATTGCACAATGGGGTAATATTTATGAGGCTGTGAGGGTTTTTGCCAGAAATTAGTAGAATGATTCATTAGATGAATTCACTGGGTAGCGTGATGAAATCTCACAGCCATCCGATCCTTCCCGCTGTACTTCACGTGATTGATTTATTTCATTCTCAATCTCACTTGCTCGCAGCCACTGATCAATCATTTTCTTTAGCATTTGTTAAAGCTAGATGGGCAGAATCAGATCTGTCATGTTCTGATGTTTCATTGTGAAAAAACTCATTTCTCTTTGTCAATCGTTGAGAATAATTTGTGACATGTTTCTCAGCAATGAACTTTATCTCTGACTCTAGTGTCTTATGGTCAAAAATAAACCATAAACTAAAGACTTTTAGAATGCAATTTATAATGACATTTATAATCTGTCTAATCTAATATATTCAGATAGAAATGTTCTTTTAATTTTAATAGTATTTCACAAAATTACAGTTTTTTTAGATAGAGAGAGAGAGAGAGATAGATAGATAGATAGATAGATAGATAGAGAGAGAGAGAGAGAGAGAGATAGATAGATAGATAGATAGA